TTCGATGAACTACATACATTTACACGATAGTGAGCAGCACTCACATCACGATATGCCTTCAGTGAGACGGCCGTCTCTCAGAGGCCTCCACGAAAGTTTACAGAACAGCCATGGCCGGACACGACCTGGCCAACTTCTTGAATTCCAATTCAACGGGGGAACAAGGGAGTCAAGGGCGCAGGTTTCATTGGGGCGACACCGTGATCTCACGCGATCCGCTTCGTGGAATCATGCAGATGCGTATACAGTCCGCAACAGGTCAGAAGAACTGCTCTTCGCACGAGCTCGTCAGCCAAGAGCCCGTACCTCACTGCATCTTCCTTCTTACGCAGCCGCTCAATACCTCCAACAAGTTTTTCCGACTCAAAGTGAACGCCCCACGCCTCGTGTGGCATTGGATAGCTCTCGGCAAGCACCTTTCATTGCGCGTTTGCCTCCAAGGTCGCCTGCCCATGCACCATCAGCGCCTTTCCAACAATTCATGCAGCACTTGCCACACACTTCTCCTCCTGGTCACCCGCGCGCACCTTCTCCAGAGCTCATCCAGCATCCTCGAGTGCAACACCGGGTCTCTTTTTCAGCTGAGGCACGCCCGCAGCCTAAGCAGCAGCTTGGGCAGCCAGTTCCCACTCCAATTCCTGGAACAACCCTACAGAATGGGGAAGGCTCACAGCACACAAAAGTTGCAGACCCGCCATCTTCCCTAACTACTCCTCAGTTAGAATCCGCGGCGGAGCTTTCTCCCTCCGCTTTGTCTGGGATGACCTCAGTGTCACCCCCTGGACAGTTTTCTGTAACAAGCGCTGGCAGTTTTCCACGCACAGAGGCGCCAGAGACGAGTAACCGTGAAATGTCCTCAACTTTTGCCCCCAAAACGTACCCACATACAATGGGAAGCAATTTTGAATTGGTAAATGCAGCTGTTGAAAGCGGTCAAGCCACCCAACCAACCGTCAAGTCTTCCCTGTTGGAAGATGGGCTCTCGGCCGAGGTTGTCTCGAGCAGCTTTCCTGAGCCTGAAGCTGCATTGAGTACCAAATCGCTCACCCTTTCTGAGAGTCCTTCTCCTTCGCCTGAGGTTCTTCCCTCTGGTCAGGAGAGCCTTTCTCGAGGTCCTGCAGAATCTTCGAACACGGCCAGCGAGGCTGCTTCAGGAGGGGGCGTTTCGCCGCCACACTCTCCTGCAGAGTCAGCAAGTCGCCAGTCACATGGTCCGACGTTTTCAGTCACATCTCTTTCCGCTGCCTCACAGGGGACATTTCCGTTGAAGGGTAGTAGCTTTGATCTGTCAGAAATAAGTGTGTCTCGAGGCTCAGCGAAGTCCAGCTCTCGCATTACTGATGAATTGTCCCAGGTTCCACTTGACAACGCTGACACAACGAGTGCTGAAACATCATCTGGAAGTGGCCCGCCACCATTATCATCCGCAGCCTATAGTCAGCAGCCGCCAAGACGGGACTCTCTTTCATCAGAAGAGCAACTTCAAGAGCCTCCACGCAAAGATATGCAGTTTGAGGAGGGAGCCCCGCCACCGGATGGGCAATCGCTTACAGAAGCAGAGTCGTCTAATTCACTTAGTCAAGCAACATCTGAACAGGTGGCTGTGATGACCCGAAAGTTGTTGGATTTTACAATGCCTGCTGATGTCGTTGCAAGCTCACTGAAGTACGACGCAGCCTTTTTGCCTATTGCAGGAGGCCTGTTCACTGAAGGCCTCGAATTATTGAACGAGGTTGCACGAATCTCCGTTGACTTCGAAATGCACCCGAAACTGGTGTCAGAATTTGAAATGTCGAGACACCATTGCCGTCGTGTGTGTGCAAGCCTCCGCTACGGGTGCCAGCGCTGGAAGAAGGAGCTTGAAAAGCTTGTGGAAGCCGTGAATTCAGCAGTGCAGTTATCCAAAGATTTTCGGCGAGAATTCGATGGAAAATCTCCAAACTTCTCCTTTCTGGATCAAGCTGAAATGCTGTGGGCTCTTGTGAGAGCAACAAGGGGACTGAGCAAGCACATGTCTAAGTTGGAAGCTTCTTTTCTAGACTCACGCGAGCTTTCACAGCTTCTTCACGATGCTGACAACGCAGCTTCTGCAGGGCAGACAGAGGTATCAGAGGCAGCAGAGTTTTGTGCAGCTTCATGGACAAGGTTACTGCAGCACGAACCTAGCCCTGCAGCCTCGGGATCACCTGTAGGGGAGGAAGAGTCAGAACTCCGTCATCGCTTACCCGATGAAGCCAAAGAGTTCGCACAAGCGCCTTCGGTGGAAGAAGTACTAGTGGAAGGGTGCTTTCTTGTTGAACGTCTGGTTGCATTAGTCGGTCCAAAGCAAGAGGTCATGAAGCTGAGTGCCACGGTAAAAGAAAGGGAAGCTGCCACCGAATTCCGCTGACTCGCCCCTGGCCTACATTGTACTTAGCTTGAGCGATGGGAACGAAGAGAAATTTTCAAGAAGACCTTTTATTTCCGCGAAGCTGCTAAGCACGCTTTTGTCTTCTGAATGCAGACCGCTCTCGAGCAGCTCTAGTCAGCACGACAACGCTTGGCGTTTTTTCCCGTGCTGAATACAACTGATGGTGCTATCTTTAGGTCAAGGTTGTTTTTAACTCTGCAGTTGATGCATCAGCTGTCCAATGTGCTGCCAGGGAGAGTGGGCCGGTAGGAGGAAATTGATGAGAGCTGCTCTTTGCTTAATTAGAAAGTATGCATAGGGGTTTCACTTGGAAGTCACACTCATTTAGCCGTACCAACAGCGTTTACGCTGTGGTCGATTTTGTCAAATATGCAGGTGGGCTTCCGCGTAGCTGATATATTGTGCCTCCTGTTTGGGATTCATGCTGCAGTAAGCCTTGACAACTCCTTAATAATAAAAGCAACGCTTATGAGATTCATGAGAGGCGCTTCATCTCGAATATGCATTTGATGTAGCCGATGTGTTTACACAGTGAGACACTGAAAATCAGCTGTCAATTGCACCTCTCCTTCGCCCGGGACATACTCTAGTATAGGAAACGCAAGACGCACATGCTTTTCCAAAATGCTTGACTGCCTGCTATTGTGATATTTTGTAGCTAAGAGATGCCTTTACACTGAGCGAGAGTTCACAAAGTTTATTTCGGAGTAGAAGCAGCAACAGGTACTTATGCTTTTGTGGCAATCCTCCTTGCCGGTATGCTGACCCTACGATGCGTATGAGCAGCTTAGCTCGACTTTACATCAGAAAGGGTTTGATGGACAGGCGAAGCATGAAGTAGAGAGGGAAACGATCAACCACCTAGCCGTTTCTCGTGACACGTAGGTTACAGCAAGGGCTTTCTTGTTCAAATTCAAGCAGCATACTAGCAGTGATAGACCAGACACACAGTTCGTGTATATTTGCCGGCCATGAGGACGTATTGATTCTGGACAATTTTGCCCTGATGAAGTGCTTCGCAACTAAATGCGCATGTAGAGTTTATGGCCTGCAACGGGAAACGGATTTTAGACCATGAAACTGTTGAAACTTAAGTGGGTTCAATGCGAAATTCGGGAGTTATTTTGACGCACCAACGGTCCATAAGTGCAGTAGTGTCAAAGCCAGCTGGTACAGTTATTTTACCATGTCTTCCGAACGCATTAAAGACGCTGCGTTCACGCGCAACAGCCCGAATGCACAACTAAGCTATTAACTTCGCTCGCTGCAGCTTGGCAGTTCCGGTTAGCTACACCATTTCTCAAGGCATGCCCCCTATTTTTGCACCTTAAGCTAATGAATTATAGGGCAAACGGGCCTGAAACTGTCTCTTTGAAAGAAATCCCAATCTTCTAGTGGGATGCCTAGGGAAATTTCTGTCCGCCTATGCAACATATTCGACCTGCCCAGAGGTACATCAAACGCTTTTCGACAAGCGATGTTTGACAGTAGTTTCGCAAAGGTGGCGATTCAACATTTTGATCATGCCCTTAATGGTGCTCCCATGACAGAGCTAATGGATGTTGTCGATACACAGCTAATGGCTGGCACAAATTTTTAATAGTAATGCAGTGTGCAAGGTTTCATAGGAGCGCCGCTGAATGCAATAATGCTTTGCAGTTTGTAAACATTGTGAAATGACGAGGTGAGCCTGCCTGATGCATGCTTACAACAAGCACCTCCACTTGCTTCCTTTCCTACGCCGATACGCGCTGTTTCTGCTTTGAAGCAAAGAAAAGGGAAGACAAGATAGCATATATTTGTTCTTAATCTTAAGCGCACACTTTCGGTGCAGGGTGAAATAATTTTGTCTCCGGGGGCTCACGCCACAACGGTACCTTGAAAAGCTGAAATGCGTCCTGGCGAGCAGAGTTGTCGCGACAAAATTTCCACCGCGCTATGGAAATTATGGCACAACACTCCGCTGGCGGAAAGTATTTAGGTAAGGAGCGCCCACGCTGAGGCTATTTGCCTAAATACTTCTCGCCAGCGGAAGTACTTAGGTTAATAGCAACCAATATGATCTTATGCACCGCTTTCAAGCTTCTGGTGCTTGGGTCCTATTTACCGAAATGCCCAGGAAGGCTGTGCGCTACCATGCCATATCTACTGCACATATCCATCTAAGGCGCTCAGTATGATCGGTGCCTTTGAATGTTTTCCGTACATGCATTGCTGCGTTTTACTCGGCCGCATTGTAGCATACCGAGCAAACTCATCTGTAGCGCAGTGCCCATTTGAATGTGAATATTATATCCGAAGATGCACTTTAGCCCTTCGGAACGCCCGTACAAAAGGAGCTTTTGCACGAAGGAATCGTTTTCTCCGTGTGAAGTACCGGCTGTCCTTCCTGAAAGCTGACAGATCAAAGCTTTCCCCTGAGACGACGACACTTACGGGAATGATGCACAAGCCGCACAGGACTGGGGGAGTTTTACCTGCCAGGGCATTGACTGAAGAGACTGGTGGTTATTAGGGCTTCAGCACAAAAACCCCCCCCCAACCTGCGATATAATGTACTTCGGAACAGCGACCACATCCGAGAGTGTTTTCAGGCCTTTAGGACATCACTAGTTTCAGATGCATCATGAATTTGCTGTGTCACGTGTATTAGATGTCGAACCTGAGGCGTATGGCCGACCACTGCCATTAGACGTCCAGCAATAAAAGTAGCTTCTTCTAGAACTCTTTTTAGGGGAGGCTCTTCTGATGAGCCCGGGAGCCCCAGAAGTGCGTCGTCGCTGCTCGCAGGCACTTGGTCGCTTGAAATTGACTCGCCTCCTGCAATGTCAGCCTGCTTCTGAAGCTCCTTTGTCCACGAAGTCGCGCAAAATGCTGCTCCCTCCTGCACCTCTTGTTCCGCAGCGATAGCAGCTTCACGGGCGTTAACGAGAAAAGTTGAAAGCATATTGCTACTCATGCTGGGCACGTCAAATGGCGATATGTCGTCGTGTAATCTCCTTGATTTCTTTGCGTTTTCCTGGAGCCTTTCTAGTAGGGAAATATATTTGGAGCGTGGAAGTTCCGGTTGCCTCCCCGACCGCTGCATTTTGGCGCTCTCTATCGCTCCAGTCAGAGCTTGGTTCACACTGGCAAGTTCAGACATCCAGCTTTCAGATAACACTTCGTATAAAGTTGAGCACACACTCTTACAGTCTTCCAGTTTTTTCAGAACATCCTTGAGAACATTTGAGTCCTTAAGCGGGAAAGAAACAACACGTCTGGCTCGTTCCATCAAGTCAAGTCCTCTCTTAAGCGAATCCCTTGCTTCAGACACTACATAAGGACTCGTTTGGGCTCTATAGGCTACTTCTCCAGCAGCTCTGGTGAATGTCCATAAGTCTTCGAGCAGGAGGAACGATTTCTCCTCAGAAGTGAGCTTGTCAGGCAGGCCTTTGCTTTGTGGTAACGGCCCATGCAGTGGAGGCGGGTCTTCACGAGGTGGCCCACTCTGGTCTGACAGCCCTAAAAGCGTTGCCGACGGTGGGGTTGTTTGAATATCTGAAAACTTCTGGTGAAATCCTGGGGAAGTAGAGGAGGGAACCTCTTGTTTTGGGGGATGGCTGCCTCCGCGAAGCTTATTAGCATAGTCTAGTAAGGAAAACCCAGATGCACTGGCCGCATCAAATGCGTCTACAAGGCCCGCTTCAGAAACTTCATATCCGGCCGTTTCCGAATGGATGGTCCCTAATATTTCATAGAGCGCAAGGGTAGGTGAAGGAAGGTTACCGGAGAGCGACGATGTATCCTGCTCAAGCAGGGAAAAATCCGTCGATGGGAATGGAAGGCTGTCGCGCAGAGCTGGGCCTGGCGTGGCTGGCTCTGTAAGTGGAGTATCCGGTGGGGAAGTAGAGCTGTCGCCTTCTAACAAAGAGCTCTGGTCTGAGCTCGGCATGAGACGTAAGGCTGAACTTGAAGCCTTGCGTTCTTTTTGAAGCTCTGGCAACGGAATGCGAGGTGGGAGGGGATCTGCTCTTCTGCGTTCATTTCTATCTGATGGATAAAACGCATCAATGGGGGTTCGAGGAGACGTTTCAGGACCAAAAGCATACTGCTTTTTCATAGAAGGAAAACCACTCGACGGAGTGGAGGGCGACTCAGGAATTGATGAACCTTCAAACTCTTGGTCGCTTGATGAGGCGGTAGCGGGAGTGCCAGCTGTTAAAGGCTTAGCTGCCGTCCCCCGGGTCTCGTTTGGTGAGCTAGCAGCAGGGCCACTTCTACGATATGCAGGTCCGGGGGAAAAGAGTTTTGAAACGGAAGCTAGCGAGCCCAAAAGGGGTGAAAACGCTTCATAGCCGTCATTCTGTGGAGCCTCTACAATTGGAGAACGTTTTGTACGAATAGCCATCTCAGGTAGGGACTTTGGAGGCGAGGGAGAAACACCATGTGAAGGCAGAGCACATGAAGATGGAGACGATTGCTTTGACGGTGGGCGGGCGGGCACTGGGGGCGCGGAACTTCGCCGCTGCAGCAAAGCATGTCTGCAGTGCTGTTCTGAAGGTGAGGCAGTTGTTTCCTGACCACCAGTCTGCAGATGCACACCCGGCCTCGCTTCTTGAGATGGCCGAGTGAAACTGTCACGACAGGACAAAGGCAGTGAACTCTGCCCTGGTGCTGTTTGAATTGTTCCGACAATACCTGATGAAGGTTGGTGGAGCAAATCCGAGGACACGAAGCCGAGAACTGGCTTTTTGGGGGGAACATGGGGTTGCGAAATGTGTTGGGGGTCCCGGGAGCCTGCGGCTTCCCTCTCCTGACGAGCTCGGGTAGCACAGCTTTGCTGCTTTGATGGAGGCTCTTCAGGAGGTTGGCCTTTAGGACTCTGCGGGCCAGGAACGTGACGCGGAGGCAAGGCTGTTGGAAATGGGGTGGCAGACTGACTTCGGATCGTCCGGTCGCATGGAAGGCTAGATGTTCTTCCTAGCCGCGGGGATCGGTACGACGGGAGGCCAGGATACGGAGTAGGCTGGGGTGCTGGGTAGATATCAGAGCTTCCTGATGGGCGCTGTTGCCGAGCCGCATAGGTTTTAGACACGTTATGGCTGGTCTCATTCGGGGTGTCCAACGACTGGATTGAAGGAAGGCCCTTTACAGGGGTTGCGGTAAGCGGTTTCTGAGGCAAGCCGGGCAACCAATTTGGAGGATGGACAGGGTGTCCAACTGGAAGAGAAGGAGCTGCTTTAGAAGGCAGACCACTTGAGCCACGAGATTGCTCGCTGTATGAAGGACTATACGACATCCCATCATCAGCACGGCTCTGCGAAAACTTGAGCTTGGAACTTAACCTTTCACTGGGAGCACTGACAGGACTCTGCTTCCCAGGATAAGTCCACTGCTCGCCAAATGAGGGAGGGAGCGTCGCATGCCTTCGAAGTGGATGGCTGTTGGCAGGGCGTCTTTCAGGTTCTGCCACCTGTTGTGCGCTGCCTGTCTCTAGTGCAGCCTGTAACTTCTGCTGTGCTTCTCTCAGCTGAGGCAGGTGACCTGACAGTCCCATTGCCTGAGCCCCTGCCTTCAAGCTGAGTACTTCTTCCAGGCACAATTTCGCCTGGCCTTTAAGGTCTTCTAGTTGAGGGCCGCGAGCGCTGATGCGCCTTGTGATGTCATCTGCCTCGTTCAGTGTTCTTTGCACTAGTGTTTTAGCAATTGAAACTTCCGCATTGGTGGGTCTCTCGCTAACAACTTGCCCCTCCGCGAGGACGACATCCCGCGCAGCGAGGGCTCGAGCTACGCTCAGGGATATTTTTCTCCCAGCGCGAGCAGCTCTCACTTGCAGCAGCAGTACTCGTTCTTCTTGGCTAGATCTCCGCCCTAAGGCAGAAAGCCTTTCTTGTCTTGCCCGCAGGTCGTCTTTCATCGCTGACAGAGATTCTTTTTGTTCCTTCATATTTTCTTCTGCAAGTTGTCTTTGCTTGTTATCACCCAGAACTGCTGCCCGACTGAGTGTTGCCACCTGTAGCTTATACGATTCTTCCAGCCTCGAAATGGCATGCTGAAGAACTGAGATTATTTGAAGAAGCTTTGACAAAGTTTCGCGTGCATTGGCAATGGACTCTTCTTCCTCTTGCGTCAATACGCCCACCTGTGTTTGGGGCAGCTGCAGCGCAGCAAGCTGAAGCTGAGCAGAGGTGTCTTGCAGTAGGTGCAACTGCCGCGGGTCAAGAGGCGCCCCACGTTCGTCAGAGGGACTACAAGAGGTGAAGTCTTTAGCTGCAAGAAGCCTGAGCCTCCCAGCGGAAAGCTTTGCCACACTCAGTTTCATGCTCCAGAAACAGCTGGAGATGAGCAACACCACAGTTGCCAAGGATAAAAATACGGCTCCTAGAATCAGCGTCCATGCTGGGGGATAAAAACTGTGCACATGAGATGTTCTTCGCCGTCCGGCGAAGAAAGTTGATTCGACAGGTCGTGCGGCAAGACCCACAGGGATTTCAAAGACAGAGGTCTCCTCTACCTTGCTGTCTGTCAATGTCGTGCTGCTCTCCTGCATGTCTAAGTTGCCTAAGGCTGGAAAATGTTGTTCTGCCCACATGGTCATCGGTAATATGGAAAAAGTTTAAGAGGTCTTTGCCAGTTCTTTCTGAGGTGGTCATGAGGGTGGGGCCTGGACGGAACGTTGGCGCTTCATCTGCCTTCCTGTCCCATCAAAACAGTCGATTGGGAAGATCAATGCAGATGACGCATTGAAACAGCCCAGTGAAACGATTCTTAAACTATAATACTAACAGTGAAACGAAGTAGAGCATGCGATGAAACCTTCGGGAGGTTTCAGTGGCCAGACAGAAGAGGGCTCTGAGAAGAGGGACGCAAGTGGGGGGTTTGCCCTCGCTCGTGAGCATGCCTTCTTGGGGAAGAACTCCCTCCATATGAGTGAAATTTTACGGAAATTTCATTATAAAATAAAAACATGGTATGCAAATGGTTTTTAAAGCCTCGAGCCCCAGTACTTTTCAAATATGGGGCCGAAGACCATGCCACTGCTTCCTCCGTGTAGGCAGTGTGCACCCTGAAGAACCCGGCAGAGAACTTTCCCTTGAAATCAGCCTTTTCGCAGAAGAACCGAGTTGCCTGACCCATTCAGAAGTAGTCGCGTGCAACTAACTGTGAATAATAATTAGACAGGGGACATTGGAGGGGCTCTCACGTGGTAAGGGATGTTGGCTGGTTCAAGATCTCTCTGTATTTTGTGGTGGATTCATCTTGGAAACAATGGAAGACCTACAGAAGAAACTTTAAAGCAATGCTATGCATAACAGCGAATTTTGTTTTCGAGTTAGAGGTAATGGTTCGTAAGGCACTGGAGAAGGTTGCTGACTGTGGGAGCAGAGGCCGCTGCGCATGAGGTGAAGACATAATGCTGTGAATAAGACTGTGTTTGCTAGCTCATCTCCATGACTTTAAAAATTAACCTCAGATATATGTCTGCTTCCAGCTACGGATCCCATTCTGCTCCGGTCTACGTGGGGACCGCAGGAGCCGGTTGCCGTGCCGCCACAGGCCTCATAAAAAGCACGGAAAAATACCGGACAAAGACTTCCCGTCTCAACCGAAGTAAAGCTTCAAATCCACTGCATTAAGCTGCACTCAGATTACATCAAGTTCCAGCAGTCTTTTTGGTCCGACTGCCGCTTAATTGTGGGAACGCGGATCACAGTCTTTGCAGCCCCTGTCCAATGCTAACTCCTCAACTTTTGACAGGCGCAGCCTGTCAAAAGTTGAGGAGTTGACAGCCGCAGCCCCTTTATGCAGTAAGTACCTCTCCGTGTTTATGCCATGCTAACAAGTCATAGGCCTTAACAAATACTTCACCGCCTTCTGAGAGGGAAACATAGGGAGTCGATGAGGTTTTTCCGCACCCCCACAACACCACAATGGAGAGCTCACTTTGTGCTTTCAGCTGCCATAGTTACCTCAATGCTGTTCTCTTTCGCCGTTCCAGCCATAAATCGTAGAGAAAACAACCCCTGCGACTCCAGGTCTGCGACCCCCATCTCACTCTTTTGTTTGGAAACGGAAGACCCAACATTACAGCAGCGCTATACACACAAGGTCACATCACGTTTTGTCCACAGAAGAGCTTCTCCGTTCATGTTTCTGTGTGCTCATTTCCTAGTTACAACTCTGTGCACGTGCGGCGGTGGTACTTGCCCGCGACGGTAAGGACATTCCGATACCACGCAAGGAGTCAAATACTCACAAATTAACAATGAAAAGCTGAGCTTCAGCTCCCTCGCATGGCTAGAGTAAGAGATTGGGCTTCGACATGCCCACAGTTTTGCCCACGCGGTGGCAACAAAGCCTGTAATATAGTGCCAAGCATTGCGATTAGGCACGAAAGTGACCTTGAAGGGCTAATCTAAATTGAACCATGAACTTTTTGCCACAAAGGTGAGTAAAGTCTGTGATGTGGCAGGCCTTTGAGCGTTGCAAGACACTGCGCCAAAGCAAACCCACAAGTGGCAGCTACCCTTTTCCCTGAGGGGCAACGCGGTATGCAATGCCCTTTCCCCGATCAGAGCTTCCTGCCCTACTAAGTAGAAATCCGATTATTTTTTGTAATGTTTAACAGTCGGTAAATGCTAGGAGGGCTAGAGCCAACTCACGGAACTTGAGTGTTCAGAAAGCTGGGCTAGGTGCATACTCAAAATGCCACAGATCCGGTCACTGCTAGGAGCCATTTTTGATTGCAAGTCTCCCGTTAACAAACAATTGAAAAACACAACGGATTGAGTTATATACATTGGGAAGCTTTTAATTGTGTTCTGTCCCCTTAATTCAGAGGTCTTCCCTCTACGCTGCGTCGAAGCACTGTGCCTCTGGCTTGCTCGGTCCATCACTAGCCCCACCTCCAACATTTCTCGACTCCAATAACGAGTTAACCACCAAAATCACATCTGTCGAACGTTGTTCATTATTATTTTCAGTGTTTGGGTTGGTTTTGTGCTATTGGGGTGCTTTCGTCGACCAGCCACGTGCAATAGCATCTGTTGGCTCTGTGGTGTATTGGCCTCCCAAAGTCACGAGTACTGCACCGGCCAGCCGGGCTACATTATAATCAGTACCCTTCCCACCTACGCCCATAAGCTTATACTTACAAATGGTTTTGTATTTGTTTTTTTAAAAGCATGTGGGTGCTTTCATTAGCTGTTGCACTGACTACTTCGGGAGCACAGGGGGGATCTGTGCCTTTAACAGATCAACATGGAGAGCATTCTCTGTATAGAGTCCCGCAGGAGCTTCCTTCGGGATTTCCGCATTCTGATCATGCCTGGTCACAAGATGGAGAGATGCAGAAGAGGATATCTGTTCCGACATGGCCGACATTTAGCGTTCTAACAGTGATCGTTTCCATGGCCGCTGTAGTCTTCATCATCTCCCTCTGCGCCGGGAACATAAAAAAATATGAAAGATTCAATCCAGAAGTACAGTTCAGGCGACTTTCAGTCGGAAGAGCTAGCCCTTGCGTTCTTCCTGTAGAAGCTCAAATGCCAAGCGAGAGCGGGCAGCGCAGCGCTGCTACAAAAGCTTCCGCTATACAGCAGCAGTTACTTACGTTGCAACTCCCAAATGAAATTAAATGCCTTCTTCGACCAGAGGAGGCCTCTTCCATTGACGCAGCAGCCAGGTTATTGCAAAAACAGATTGACACTGTTCGTAAACTTGAGGTACAACTGGAGGATTTGAAAAGTACGTCTCTTCAGGATTTACTTGAAGACAAAATGTTGGGGAATTTGGTGGGGGCGGGTAAAATGTCTGACGTTGAACGTAGGATGCGAGAGGAGGGTCTCGTCTTTAGGCTAGGAGTCGAACAAACGAAACTCTCCGCTCTTGGGTGGAGTCATCAACAGGAAGGAAGGGCTCTCCTGCTGAGGGCAAGAGGCGAAGGCAGTGGACGGATACTACCGCCAGCGGCATGGCGCGCTTTTGCCGCACGAGATGCAGTTCTTCTAGGTGGAAGGCGCGTGGATGTAGCCCCAAGCGTTGCCGACCAGCAACTCATTACACGACTAGTGGACTACACTACGTGGAAGGCGTCAATTTTCTGTACTATGCCCAAGTCTACTTCTTATCCATATGTGTCGAAGCTTCACAGTGACATAGTTGACTTGCAGCAACAGGTTGCCAATTTTGCCGGAGTGGGTTCACTTAGGGTTGGAAGTCTGCTCATCAAGCTATGCCAAGCGCAGTCTTCTCTTGAGTCGCTACACTCGAATCTATCCACGTCACCGGTCTCACACACCCCAATACGGCGAAGTATTTTTCACAAGATTTTAAGTTCTACAGGCCATTCTTCGTCGCCTTCTACACAGATAGAGCCCGCTTCATTGGGCGACGGAAGAACTGCACATGAGCAGGGGCGCTCCGTTACTCCAAGACCAGCCTCAGTAAAATCACCGGAAACTGACGCAAGGCAAAGTAGAGATAGAGCGCCTTATGCGTCTCCTGGGCCATTCCCATTTCTTCCACGTTTTGACGCCACTTGGCGCCCGCAGCGCTCTTATATCCTTGGTGCAGTAGGCTCTGCATCTTCAAGCAAGAGAGGACGGCTACCGGGTCGACGACAGCGGCTTCCGCTTCGTCCTACGGAACGCCTGACGAGCCAACTTCCCACAATCGAAGAATCTCCTTATGAGTGACAATGCCGCTGTCCTTTTTTGCTAGGCAGCGTACAATTTGCGTGCATGTCGGGTCAAGCTAGACGTTCCTCTACGCCAAGCCTTGCCGTCAGCACAACAATGGGAAGCTTCATTATCACGCAAGTGTTATTATCCTGATTTTCCGTAACACCATTCTTGATGCCCCCGACGCAGGTGGCTCAACTGACCATTTTTCCCCGCCAAGCGGCAAGCAGCCATCGGAGGATCACTTTTCTCCATGAGGGAAACATCATTAGCCTCATGATCGACGTATGCCATGCTATATAGGCCTACATTCACCAGAAGGCATGTATGGACGTCCACACACGCATTCTGGTCAGTGCATGTACACATGCATGGAAGTGCACATCTTTGGGACTACTGAAGCATTAAGTTAGGTGCCGAAGGCGTTGCAACAGTGGCCACAATTTGTGCCAATATTTGTGTAGTTCGGAATACTCAGGCGCTGGGGTTTTGTGAATCTTTTAAGCTTTGCATCAACTCAGCGTGGATTATTCAATTGACCGTGCCTGCTGTCATTGCTGGAGGTCAGGAGGAACTGGGCGCATATGCAACCCAAATATTGTTGAGAAAGCGATTGAACAAACCAAGGACTTGTTGCTGGACAGCAATCTCTTTCTCGAGGGATGTAAAAAAGCATTGAATTGAAATTCGGGAGAAGCTCTCGCGAATCGATTACGGCATGCTAATGGATTCACTCCATAGCGCACGAAAAATGACTATCCCATTTCCCTCGTATTGCTGCGACCGAACTGCCTCCCTGTTTCCTGTACTTGCTCTTGAAGCATTTCAGTACTTGCTTCTGCGAGGAATACAGATGATGCGGGCGATGCAAGGCTGTATGCTTCTTCGAAAAGGGTAAAGGGCTGCGCGTAAAGTA